AGCTTTCAAACATGTCAGCTGTGCCGGCCAAAGCAACGTTCAGAATTTTGTCACAACAGGCCCCTGTGTTGGTAATGTATAAATCCCGCCCTTCGCTCCTTTGTACAGCTGTCTTCCAAAATGGCCATAGAAGACAAAGTTTCTTAAGATGTATTTTTATTGCATTGTAAGTGAAATAGGGATGTAACACTTTTTTTAATTTTTTTTTTTAAGGAAAAAATGCTAAAACAAGCTATATATCTTAGGTATTTTTGGAAATATTTCATTGCAGACTTGGAATTTGAGCTATGATGATACTGATGATATAATTGGAAATAAAAGCTCATTACATCTATTCTCACCACAGGAGTAGAGACCACATCCTGGTTAAATGTCATATGACTAATTTAATTTTTACAAGTGACTACATAATTGCAATTTCTAAATACTTTTCCATGATGATGTGCAATGTAATAGCTGTTTCTTGGTTAAGCTTGTGGGTTACATGCATTGTTTCTTGGTTATGCTTATGTTAATTCAGGATTAGGGGATGGGTAAGACTGAGGGGATGCTTATCTGCTAAGTGGAAAAGGGCATTTACTCTGATTATTTCTTCTGGTTAAGAAATAAATTCCAAGTTTTTATCAAAAATAAGACGTTTGAGCAGCTGCAAAGCAGGGAGCAGTTATTAGCCTGGAAAGTCAGATAAGCCCGGATTTCCAGTTACATTCCAATTCTGTTTCTTGGGGTCCACTTTATTCTCATAGAGCCCCCCCAAATGGTGCAGTTCCTGGCAGTGAAACCTGAAAGCAGTCCCGTTCCGGCCAGACTGGAAGATTGCCTGTGCATCTCCCTTCATCCCAAATGGTCTCTCTTCTAACAAATTCAGTTTTCTTTCCTAGTCCTGTCCCAGGTCAGTGAGCTGTATGATTAGGAGAGGCATAGGTCTTGCAGATTGAGGGACATCTTTGAAGTTCATTATATTTGTTGATGCATGCTAATCCACAGGATCCACAGGCACAGTCAATGTATGGTCCCTTTTCCCTTTGCATCTCTTCCCAGATTGCTGGAAGTGGAAAAGGAGACAAAGACTTGCTTGCAGTAGTGATGGCGTAGTAGCTAAATTTTCTCCTTTGAGTTGAGGATGGGACTTTGACTTTTCCCTAGATTATTTTACTTTTGTATGTGTGCAACAGCTCCAAGTGATTCTCTCAGGTAATAAAACTGTTAATATAATTTGCTTATAGATCATATTGTCCCTATTTATATCGTACAGAATGGAGAACTGTATCTACGATACCTAAGTTGAAAAGGATAAAGAAACAACTAATCATAAATACATTTGCTGTTATTGAAAGCAGTCAGGATTTTGCCCTTGGCACAGTTGAAATGGAATAAAATCTTGAAAATACTGTGTTAGGTAAGCACTGTCTGATAGAAATAAGTATGGCAGGGCAAATCAAATCTCAGTTTTCAGAATCTGGAGATTAATTTTTTTTTTTAATAGATTTTTCTCAGATTGAATCTTCTTAGATTCTAGTCACTGAATAGAAATTAAGATTGTAAAATTGCTAGATTGTGTTTTTGGATGACTGCCAAAGTCAGTCTTGAAAGTACTCTGAGATTTGGTTAAATATGTTTAGATTACAGAAGTTAGTTGATTTAGGTAAGAGTTCATGGAGGAAATGGTATTTCAGTGTTGGAGCCTGCAGAGATTGCATTTTCTGGTGATCAGGGGGTGGGGTTTTGTTTTCTTCTTAACAAGAAGAGGAAAGAAATTCTCTGAGACACATCAGGAATTGTTATAATTTGACTCGAGAAGCGAGGGTTTGCAGAAAGCTTCCAACCAATGTCACCAAAGTTTGCGGTAATATATACATGTGGCAGTACTTGTTGCCTCTTAGGATCCGACTTTGATGTGTGCTATTGTATACTTACTTTCCACCGTTTTAGCTTTTAAATTGTGGAAAAGATTATGTGTCACAAATAACAGTGGCAAGCGTAGGGGGAAGCCTCCCATCGAGCTAAACCAACCCAATGGCTCATTACTGCTGAAAAGTGATCCTGCTCCCCTTGCTTCACCGGTGGCGTGGCTCTTCCATCGCCTGTAGCATCAGCTCTCTCTCCCTGACCTCACTTACTGTCAGCTGTTAATCAAATCTGTGAAGGTACTAGAGATGCAGACAGTCTCTTTCAAGTAGCTGCTGCTCTTTCTGACAAAATTTAGTGTTTACATCAGTGCATAGGCTTGCTGGGCAGGGGATGGTGCTGCAACCTGGGAAGTGGATCAGGCCAAAATGTGTTTGTGGGGTTTTTTGGGGTGGGTTTGTTTTTTTTTTTTTTTTTTAATTTTCTTACACATCTGACAGAGAAGTCTGTTTAAAAAGATACAAAAATGATACTTCAGAGACTGTCATTGCAAAAAAAAAAAAAAAGAAAAAGAAAAAAGTAATTTTGCATTAGATTATAACTAGGTTGCATTCTGTCTTTTTATTTTTTTTCTCTCATGTCCAGCATCCACAGCACCGAAGAATATTTTGTTTCTCATCTTTAACACTGTCTCTTAATACTGTGGGCTTTTTCTTGCATAATGTAGAGTGTATGGGTGCTTTTTTACATAGCTTTACCTTCTCCTTCCATTAGGAAAGCTAATTCGGGATAAAGGAAGTTAGTAACCTGTTGAATATTCTGGAATCTCTGTGTAAAGTTAATGAGCAGAGATGTGTTTGGAACATAGGGAAGGAGTAGCTGGGATCGGTGAGGAGGGGCTGGTCTGGTACATCAGCAGCCAAAACAATTCTTTTCTGTTGAGTTTCCTAGTTTATATCGGCGATTATTGGCAGGTCTTTTTGGTGTTGGGTTTTTTTGCCTTGCTTGGTGAGTTAGCTGTCAGGAGGAGCTGTCTTTGAAAGGAGCATTAAGGTGTTTCACTGTTGCTAAAAGTAGCACAGTTACTTTTGATTACTTTGAGGTAGGAATGCTCATTTTTACTGTTGTTCTGGGGTATTTTGCATTTGTGCTGGTTTGGCAACTAGAATAAATGTCCATGTGTGTTTATTGATTGTTGTAAAATACTTTCTACACAGCAAACTGGAAAAAGGACGATAGGTTGGTTGGTTTGAGAGGCCCCACAGCATGCTCAGCAGTGTTTAGTTCTCCTCTGAGTTCCATGTGAATTCCCTGCTGCAAGTCTTCATGTGCCACAAGCACCAATGAGTGTAGATTTCAGCAAGTGGTGCTTATCCTGTGGACAGTCCCTGAAGCTGGCACAGTGACAGCAAAACGATGGACAGCAAGGCAGCTGCTGCGCTGAAGTACCCTGAGAATTGCGGGTGGCTGTGGAGGAGCCACAGGTAAAACGATGGCAGCTCAGCAGCAGCGCCAGTGATACTTTCTGCTCCAGGAAGGACTTGAAAATTGACCTCGCCACCCAGCAAGTGGTGATCTTTGCTCACCTTCTACATCTTAAAATGTAGGCCTTCAAGGAAGAAATAAGTGAGTTTGCTTAGCTGCAGTGTTCGTTGTAACTGATGCTGATCTTGGACAGCCACCCACTGTTGGGAGAGGTGAGACCAGGAGATGTCTTTCTTTTTGGTCTGTCTGCCTATTTCCGCC